ATGAGGTTATTCAGGCACAGTACATACTTGATTAATCCATTCTGGGTCTTTGTAATTAATGGTTCCCCTTCCCGACATTCAACAATGATCTATCTTAGAATTTTCCCTTTGCTCATTGATAAAGAATTAAACATTTTGTGGTACATGAATCTAATGGAATATTACTGAGCTATAAGAATTGGTGAATATAAGGAATACAGAGAGATGACTGACAAAAAATGAAGTAGAACCAGGAAACAATATACACAAAGACAATAATAGCAAAAATGGGGGGAAACCTAAACTTGAATGTTGCATAATGATAATAATAATAATAACCAAGCTTAGTCCATCTCATGAAACATATATGAGAATGCACCTCCTACTCTTATTTGCAGAGCCATGGCTTTTTGCAGGTGGAAAACTGCATTTACTGTTGGACTTGGTTGATGCATTGATTACTTATAGCGAACTGCTTTTTCCCACTCTCTTTTCTGTTCTGGTGATAAATTGGATTTCTGGGTTGGGGTAGGAAGAGGTATACTAGGAAATGGAGGTGATATAGAAAATAAAAGATAATAAAGATGTAAAACAAATAACTCAGAATCTTATGGGGATATCTGGACTTCAATTCAGAGCAGGAAGAGGTAGGATTTATTTTAAGGAATATCAGTTTGAGCTGTCAGGAATATTGGTGATTTAAAGATGATTTAGTGCAACTGCCTCCCATTATAGAGAAGGAAACTGAGGCCCAAATAAAGCCGAGTGATTTGCCCAAGGTCATAAAAGTAGCAAGTGGTAGAATTACGGTTCAAGTCTCATTCTTCTATTTCTAAGCCCTCCCACTATTTTTTTTTTGCTATGTTCTGCTGAAAGATCACTAGAATGCTTTTATTCAAGGACAAGGTAGTTTCTTCTGACAACAATCTATCTAGATCCAAAAAAACATTTTTCCTAATATTCCTGTTTTATATAAAAACAAACGTTTTTCATGGGAAACATCAATACATCACTTAGTGGTCAAATCCTTCCACAAGATTCAATAAGAAAGATGAAGCATTACCCTTATTGAAACCAACATTTCTAAACCAGATTTGAATACACTGACAACACCCTTCTGAGTTTTCAACTTGATTTATACAAAGTGAGGGAATCAGGGGTTGGAACATCTTAATTCTTCATTTCCAGAAATTTGAAGCTTATCTTGGTTTTCTAGAGCCATGTACCCCAACTTCCAAAAACAAACTCCAATACAGTATTGACTTTTCAGAGAAGAAAGTGGAATGATGCTTAACTCAAATCAGTTAAGTTTATACTGATACTAACCAATGGGAATTCATTAGCCTGTTTGTGAGCAATGGCCAAGCAGATGTGCCTTGTAAGACATGACCAATTTATTTATTTGGCTATGTAGATGAAAATTAGTGGCATCCAGGTTTCTTTTCTATGACCCCCTTTTTCTTTTCAGAGGTGGGGAGCTATGGGTGGAATGTGACATCTTTGGTTGATTAGTGGATTAGGTTTTGTGAATTGATTGGCCCTTTCTAGACCATTCCTCATTTTTCTTCCCATTTTCCTTCACTTCTTGATAACTACCTTCTCAAACTGCAATTTTCATGGCTTCTCCTCTCTTCCAAATGACTCCTTGACCATATAAGCATTTTTTTTAGTCTAGCTTTCTAACCCCTTCTATGGAAATGGAAACTAACAGTCTTGTCATTCCCCTTCTTCTTCTCCAAAAGAAAATTAAAATGGACAAAAATACTTCTAATAGGCTTTAGGCAGTAGCATTCTATCATTTATTCACCAGTGGTAAAATGATTCTGATATGTATTGGCCAAGAAAAGAATGACTTTACCCAAAATCTAAGTACCAAATGAGTCGACATTCCAAACATCAATATATCCTCCCAAATAACTAGACAGTATTTTCTATTAAAAAGTGCCTAGCTTTTACTCTTCTCTATGCATTCTGGGGTTTTTTTTATATCTTTCAATTTATACCACATACTTATAAATACCACATTTGTAACAAAATCCAGGCATTTTTATGCTTCTATATCTAATTTTGAAAGTGATAGATCTTATTTTCAGGGGATGGAAAATCTTAGTATCCTGATTTTCAGTTGATGCCTTTCTCAGTATGGGCCAGACAAAATAGCCCACAATCCTCCCCTTGCCCAATTTTAGGGCCCCACTCTCCTCTTGAGATGAATGGAGCAGATAATCCAACTGAAATGGAATTACTTATTTGTTCAAGTCATTTTGTATTTTTCCCTCCTTTCAAAGAAAACAAAAGTTTAGAGCTTACAGAAAATATTTCAAGTAAAGTCATTTTCTTCCCACTCTAATACCACCCCCAACCCACCCCTACAAAAAATACCCATCACTACCGCTTTCCCTTTGTCTAGAACAAATGAGTGGAAATGATCCTGGTGTGAGGCAAGGCAAGGCACAATGCATTTATATATACTAAAGACATATAGTATGAGGGTTCCACACCACCTTTCCCTTTAGATGACCATATGAAACCACTTGGCACTGAAACTGGACTTCTGACACAGCCAATCATCACCAGCAAAGTCTTGCATTAATCTAATGATAAGCAAGCCAAACTGGATGAGTGCCTGGCACATAGTAGGAACTTAGTAAAATGCTAGCTGACTGAACCACTGATCCAAGAAATCCAGAATCCATTACTGCCAAATAGTACTGAGACTTCAGGTTACCTGTGAGTGCTGATGTGTCTTGTAATCACTAATTATTTTAAGCGTGCAATTGAATGTACTGAACTAATTACAATGCATTTCAGTCAAGCTTGGATTTGGCTTTCCTTCCCTATATTAATAGAGTTCTAAATTATAACTCCTCAATTCCAGCTCTAGCAGATGTTATGGTTACCTCAGTTTTACAGCCCTCGGATGACAGACAACTCACTGGATTTGGCCATAAGGATAATTACAGTGCCTTTGGATTAGAAATTTGGGTTCAACTCCAAGCTTCGAGTAGCAGGGGGTTACTTCATCTAAAATAAGTTAGTTCTCATGGGCTAGTTGCCTATACTGAGATTCCTTCCAATATGTTAATTCAGGGGATTTGATTGTAAGGCTAATCTCTTTGAAACTGGCTATGGTCAGAAAAGAAAAAAAGCTGAATTGCAATGAAACCTCTTGCTAAATGCATATGCCCATCTTGTGTCTTTAATCTTTTTCTGACCAGAACAAGATGTTGAGTTCATTGAGCTCCAAAGAGCTAAGAACACCTAAGATGAAGAAAGCCATTTTTTCCTTTTCTTTTCCTTTTTTTAAAATAGATTTTTTAATCCTTAGAAGAGAAAAAAAAAGCTTTCAAGCTATGTCTTTTTTTTTTTTGCAGAATTTTTATGAGTAACTCAAAGAGCACAGACTGCATTTTACATCGAGCATAACTGTGTGACCTTGGACTTTTACAGAACTGTTACCTGACCCTGCATTCCCAAAGGTTGTGCCAATGGAACCCAAGCTCTGGTAGGCTCAGTTCAATTGCAGAAACATTTCAACTACTGGGCTTGGCAATGGGGTACAGGAATAAAAAGAATGCAGTTCTTGCTTTCAAGAAACTTACATCCTACTGGGGAGTGGAGATGTAACATGTTATACACGAATAACTAAGATCGAGTGATTCTGCTCCCTCTGAATGACTTCTCAGTTATTCTGAATGTAATTTGTACGCACATAAACAATGTGAAGTCCTCGACAACAGGGATCCCGTTTTTGCCTCTCTTTGTATACTCAGCTTGTAGCGCAGGGTCTGGCACATGCTTTTGTTGATGTTCTGATTCAGAATATGATGCTGATGATGAACTAGGGAAGTCAGGAAGTGGCAGGGAGTGGAACTCAGAAAGGAGCTAGAGATTTGTAGAGTTGGAAGAGAGGGGAAGCGCACCAGGTATTCACACCAGTGAACAAAAGCATAGATGTAGAGAATGGCAGCTCATGCAACAGGAGCAGCAAATGGCCTCAATGTGTGAGTCTCCACTGAGCTGGAGAGGCTTCAGACACATGACTAATGATGATTGTCTATTGTTCAACGATCAACCTAGCCAAACTCGGGGCATACTCTACTAAATCCCTGAAGAGCTGTGATGAGACCACAAATCTTTAGGGTACTGAAGAAGCATTATCTGACTTTGGCAGACACAAAAGAATCTGGGCAATTGAGCCATTCAGAGAAGACATCTGATTTTGCCAATTTGCACTCCTTGCTGCCCTGAAGCTAGCTTTGAAAGACATACTAGCCATGACACTATTCATAGGATAATGATGACTTGTTCCAAATGTATTAACAAACAAAGGCCTATGACATTAAATAGCATGACCTTTTTCATCTAGGTACTCTTTTTTCTTTTTACTATGAATCTTCTTTGAAAACCTAATCATTTGTTAAAAAAAAGTTAAATAAATATTGTCTTCACACGAACACATCTTCTTTTTTAGGAAAGCATGGTTTTGCCCATTCAATGCGCTATCTAGGGCAGTCACCTGGGGTTGTTCTAAGTTCTTCCTCTATTTGAGAGTTTAGTCATATCACAGATCAGTTATACCTAGAAACTAGTCCTAGCATCCTTCTGTCCTCCTCTTCTTCATTTGACATTCCTACAGTCACCAACTCCCAAGATGCTAATTGTGTTATGAACTAAAAATCCAACTTGGATATTACAACCAATATGGGAAGATACACTTAACTCTTTCTACAATCCTCAGTTTTCTCTCCCTGAGCTTGGTCTTAGCACCCATCCATCCATACTCAACAAATTCTTCAGGGGCAGAGTCCAAGCTTTTTGTCTTTGTGTTTCACAGAAACAATGGACCTTTGATATCATATTGTTTGGGCTGGTAGTTTCAGTGCTTTGGTAGAAAACAGGTCAGGCTAGCTAGAGGTGGGAGAGAAGTAGGATACTCATTCACCCATAAGATTTAAAAGCAGGGATGAGTGGGACTCAATCCACATGATGTAAATGCACTTCCAGAGCTCAATTCATACCTGCAGTCTTCCTTAGAAAAGCACTGGTCCACATCCACAGACAGGGAAGCCAGGGCAGAGACAGTCTCTGTTTCTTCTTGTTCTTGCTCCTGAGTGCCAGTCAGAGCACAGCCTGAATACCTCTCTACTGACTTCCAGTACTTGCCTAAAAGAAAGAGGCATCACAATTTATGGCTGTTTGAACCTGCACAGACACTAGCAGAACAATCACCCAGAGCCAACAAAAAGGGGTTGAGAAATTAAAAATCCCTCTGCCCACCGCAGTTGTGGTCTCTCTGTGTAGAGGCAAAACACCAACTAGGATGGGGTCTTCTTTTAATATAGCAAGAAAATGATAAGATGAGCCACTGTTTGTGGCCTGAGAGTCCATCTGTGGATTGGTAGCTTGCCTGGCTGACAAAGAAGCCAGTTGTGGCATTGGTTGAGGCAAGAGAGAGCTCTAGAGAAAGTGGGAGGTAAAGGCAAGATCAGAAAAGGGGATTAAAAATGTCCGTGTCTATCTATCTATCTATCTATCTATCTATCTATCTATCTATCTACCTAATATTCTCTCTCTCACACACACTCTCCTCTCTTCTCTACCCTTTTTTCCCTCTTTCTCTCTGTCTTTATAAAGCCATAAAATAAAGGGAAAATAAAACCCCAGCATTGCTTGCAGGAAACAGCCCAGCAGCAGTGAGGGAGGCAGAAGAGTCAGTTTTATTAGTCCTGGATGTACTTTCTCCTCCAGCCTCAGGGTGTGGACTGAAACAATAAGTTATTGAAAACTTTGCTACACAGGCATTCATGCATTTGGAGATCCATATGTTAAAAAGGCAAACACTGAGGGGATGTGTGTGTATGTTTTTATAGGAGGAGGGGACCTTGGGATAGGGACTCTTCATTACATAAAGACATATCATAGGCATAAAACTGAAGGTTCCAGGACTGGTCTTCTTCTGTCTCCAAAGGTATTCTTCCAAAAGCTGCTACAGAACCCCAAATCAAGCACTAGGGGGAAGGGTGCTTCTGATTACAAGGTGATCTGACCAATCCCTTAGAGAAGTAGGTTAACAGAAACTCTGTCATCTAAATAGCAAAGGGGGATCTGGCATGGTGATTGCTGCCTGGGTAAGATAACATCACAGGTAATTTGACTCAGGTCCTGCATGAAGATGGGGAATGAAGGGACCTCAAGGAAGAACAGAGTTGTAGCTTAGTGAAACCAAGCTAAGGGCAAATTGGGGGGGGGTATTACATAGAGAAGAGAGGTCATCAGGAAGAGTGGAGTATAGCTGTTTAGAGGTCAGTACATTGGAGGCAAGATACAGCAATGCACAATAAATGCAAAACTACTGGAAAGGGATCATTCTTCTAACTTCCAAGGTGTTTGGTTTGGTTTGGTTTGGTTTTCGCATCCCATGCTTCAGAAGGAGAGGTGGGGGTGAGATGCACACCAAATTGAGGAAAAGCATGAAAGGATGCTTTTTTTCCAGGGAGGAAGTGTTCCACATGCCCATAGGTTATTAGTACCCTGGGACAAAATTCCATTTGTACCATGTTAGTTAGAGCCTGAGGAAGAGAATTTGCCTGGACAGAATTAGTGGCTAAACTTTGCCCCCAGAAAGTTTGCCCTTAGCATATGGATCTTGTTTAGGATACAGGGACCACACAGTTTCTCTCTCTCTCTCTCTCTCTCTCTCTCTCCTCTCTCTCTCTCTCTCTCTCTCTCTCTCTGTATATATATATATATATATATATATATATATATATATATTATATATATATATATACACATATATGTATATATATATATATAACATATGTATATGTATACATATATATGTGTGCATATAGGTGTGTATATATTATATATGCATATATATGTGTATGTACATGTATGTGTGTATGTGTGTGTGTGTGTGTGTGTGTGTATATATATATCCTTCCCTCCCTCGGTTTTCTTTTTCATTTGACAAGTTCAGATGAGGGGAAGGATCAACTGTCAGTTGCTATCCTCATGCCCACTTCCTTGTTTGTATGGATGTCTACTTTTGCACATAGATTATATGAGATAATTTCCTCTAATTTCCTTTTCCTTGTCCCTCAGTGTATTCCTCTTCCCCTTTCTTTCCATTCTTTTTTATGAGATCATGAAGACCTACCTACCACTTTCTTTTTAATATAAATTTATTTATTTTTAGTTTTCAACATTTACTTCCACAAGATTTTGAGTTCCAAATTTTCACCCCATCTCACCCCTCTCCCCACCCCAAGATGGCATGCATTCTGAATACCCCTTCCCCTAGTCTGCCTTCTCTTTTATCTCTCCCCCTCTTCTCTTATCCCCTTCCCCTTCTATTTTCCTGTAGGGCAGGATAGACTTCTGTACCCCATTTCCTGTATTTCTTGTTTCCCAGTTGCATGTGAAAACATTCTTAAACATGTGTTTTTAAAACTTTGGTTCCAAATTTTCTCCTTCTCCCCTCCCACCCACCCTCATTGAAAAGGCAAGCAACTCAATATAGGTTACATGTGCAGTTATGCAAAACACTTCCATAGTAGACATGTTGTGAAAAACTAACTCTATTTCCCTTAATCCTATCCTGCCCCCCATTTATTCTATTCTTTCTTTTGACCCTGTCCCTCCTCAGAAGTATTTGCTTCTGATTACCCCTTTCCCAATCTGCCCTCCTCTCTATCATCCCCCTGCTCTCTTGTCCCTTCCCCCTATTTTCCTGTAGGGTAAGACAGATTTCCATACCCAATTGAATGTGTATGTTATTCCCTCCTTAAGCCAAATCCTATGAGAATAAGATTCACTCATTCCCTCTCACCTTCCCCTTTCCCTCCACTGTAAGACTTTTCTTTTCTGTTTTTTTGTGAGATAATTTACCCCATTCTACCTCTCCCTTTCTTTTCCAGTATAATTCTCTCATCCCTTAATTTTATTCTCCAGATATGACCCTTAATCTTCAACTCACCCTGTGCCCTCTATCTATCTTCTATCTATATCTATCTATCTACATATACATACATTAATTTTTTTCCTCCAACTACCCTAATACTGACAAAGGTCTCATGAGTTATAAATATCATCTTTCCATGCAGGAATGTAAACAGTTCAACTTAATAAGTCTCTTATGATTTCTCTTTCCTGTTTACCTCTTCATGTTCCACTTGAGTCTTGTATTTGAAAGTCAAATTTTCTATTCAGCTCTGGTCTTTTCATCAAGAATGCTTGAAAGTCCTCTATTTCACTGAATAACCATTTTTTCCCCTGAAGGATTATACTCAGTTTTGCTGGGTAGGTGATTCTTGGTTGTAATCCTATCTCCTTTGCCCTCTGGAATATTATATTCCATGCCCTGCGGTCCTTTAATGTAGAAGCTGCTAAATCTTGTGTTATCCTGATTGTGTTTCCACAGTACTTGAATTGTTTCTTCTGGCAGCTTGTAATATTTTCTCCTTGACCTGGGAACTCTGGAATTTGGCTACAATATTCCAGGAGTTTTCCTTTGGGATCTCTTTCAGGAAGAGATCGATGGAGTCTTTCAATTTCTATTTTGCCCTCTGGTTCTAATATATCAGGGCAATTTTCCTTGATAGCTTCTTGAAAGATGATGTCTAGGTTCTTTTTTTCATCGTGACTTTCAGATAGTCCAATAATTTTTAAATTCTCTCTCCTGGATCTATTTTCCAGGTGAGTTGTTTTTCCAATGAGATATTTCAAATTGTCTTCTATTTTTTCATTCTTTTGGATTTGTTTTTACAGTGTCTTGATTTCTCACAAAGTCACTAGCTTCCAATTGCTGTATTCTAATTTTTAAGGAAGAATTTCCTTCAGTAATCTCTTGGACTTCCTTTTCCATTTGGCTAATTTTTCTTTTTAAGGCATTCTTCTCCTCATTGACTTTTTAGACCTCTTTTGCCATTTCGGTTAGGCTATTTTTTAAGGTGTTATTTTCTTCAGTATTTTTTGGGGTCTCCTTTAGCAAGCTGTTGACTTGTTTTTCATGATTTTCCTGCATCCCTCTCATTTCTCCCCCCAGTTCTTCCTCTACTTCTCCTTACTTGCTTCTCAAAATCCCTTTTGAGCTCTTCCAAGATCTGGGACTGATTCATATTTTTCTCGGAGGCTTTGGATGTAGGAGTTCTTACTTTGTTGTCTTCTTCTGGTTGTATGTTTTGATCTTCTTTGTCACCAAAATAAGATAACATAGTCTGACTCTTTTTGCACTGCTTGCTCATGATCCTGGCCAATTACTTGAGTTTTAAACTCTTTGTTAAGGTAAGAGTTTGCTTCCAAAGTGAAGAATATACTGTCCCAAGCTTCAGGGGTTTATACAGCTGTTTTCAGAGATACTTGTAGGGACCTGTAAATTTTCAGTTCTTCCAAAGTGGTATGATGAGGGGTGAGGTGTTTACTCCTTTCCTGCACTGTGCTCTGGTCTATTAGTGACCACAAGCATTCTTTTCTGTCCTGGAACTGTGAGGAAGGTTTTCTCTCCACAGCCACTACAAGCTCCACCATGCCAGTGTTCCTCCTCACCCCAGGACCACTGTCCAGAACTGTGACATAGATCCAAGCACGGGCAAAGCAAGAGATTCCTGCCTTAGCACTGGCAAAGAAATCCCTGAAATTCCCCTCTGATCAGCTACTGGATCCCCCCTTAGTCTGTGGGCTGGAATTTCAGGATGCAGCTACTGCCCCAGCACCTGCATTCTGAGCTCTGGAACTGGCTCTGAGACCTAGCTCCTCTCTCCCTGTAGAAACAGACTTTTCCTACTGACCTTGTAAGTTGTCTTTGGTGTTCATGGGTTGAGAAGTCTGGAAACCAACACAGCTGCCTGTGATTCAGTCCTCTGCAGCCTGCGCCCCGATGCCACACTGCATTCCTCTCCCTGCCTGGTGTGATATACCTTTCCGATCAATCATCCAGATTGTCTTGGGCTGAAAATTTGCTTCATTCTGTCTTTTTGTGGGTTCTGCTGCTTTAGAATTGGTTTAGATCCATTTTTATAGGTATTTGGAGGGGTTTGGGGGACAGCTCAAGCAAGTCACTGCTTTCACTCCCTAACTACCACTTTCAAGCCTTATTTGATTGGACTACCTCTGAGGGTGATGGAGTTCAGAGGTAATACATGTATCATGTCCTCATATTG